GAACTCGCGGGCAAATTTATGTGTAAACTATTGCGAGATTTCTGCACATTAACTGACGCATACTGTCACACGTTACCGTCATTGGATGTTTGTTTGCGCGACTTTTACAGAGGATGGTGCAAAGTACCGTATGCCGGCAATCAGATGGTAGACAAATGGTGTTAATACGAACAGTTACGTCTGCCTTGGACAGGAAATATATGCGCCGCCATCTCCAAGCAGTGCAAAATTTCTGGCAATCGTGCTAGCCAGTTTCACCTCTTTTACTGTCGGAAAAAAATCATTAGTGACAAAAACCTGCAGGGGAACTGTGCAAGAAACGCATTTTTGCAACAACAGTCGAATCATTTTATCCTCGGTGGCTGCAGCTAACCCGAATATGATCAGGTTTATCGCAAAAAATTATAACTTGATAAAGAAATTTAAAGATGGATGAGGAAGGGACAACAGTTTTAACCTGTTTTGCCCCGCCTCGAAAAAAATTAAAATCCGCCATTACTCTGACATAAGCTTTGAGTTGAGGTCAAGTCGTACATAATTATTATGCTTTTCAAAAAGTTCCAAATTTAATTCTGTGTGATTAGATTCATGATTGCAAAAATAATGCAGTGTATTACAATACAATATGCATAACAAAACGAGCATTTTGTAATTTTTCAGTCTTTCTTTATCGCCTGTTTCGGAACTTTTGATGTGACTGATGATGAAGTTTGTGTATCATCCAGACGTGACGACGGCTAAATGAACAGAAGATGCACATACTTGATCTGTATAAATAACGAAGTGCAATTTATTACGTTACAAGTGATATCAGATTATGTTAGTTAATGACCAATACCTGCCAGGAAATTCCGGGCCAGACTCTCGTTGTAATGTACAGTAGCAACGAACCAGCCAGCATTGAGGTACACCGCAACCTAACCACCAGAGGTACACTGTAACTTTTCGGCAACCTCTAGAGCCCTACATATTCCGGGAATTTATTTCTGTGCACTTCTTCGCTTTACTATCGTTTTCGTTTGTTTCCCGGTCATCCTTTTCTATCCTGTCACTCTTTTTCGTCTCCTTTTTCATGAAACCTATAAACTATTTGCCTCCTCTACTATATTTGTGCTAGCAACATCTTACAGGACGATCCCGCGCGACAAAATGGGCCCGATATAATGACAGATGAAAGAGCGTTTCTACTGCAACCTCAACAACAGAGGTTTTTCTCCATGCGAATCAACATTTACTAAAATTTCCATTTATTTCGTAATGGAAAAATAAGAGAGGGTGAGATCCAAAATAAACATCAGAACTAACCGAGAAACGATTTGGAACACTTTCAAGACTTTCGTGAAGACGAATATTTTTTTCCTGTTCGTACTGTGCCTGAGCAACAGCATCTTGTAATGAGACAAACATGTAACTTTTTGGTACGTGCTGGTAAAAATGTGAATTCTCGAACATTTGCCGTACTGCCACTAAAAAAAATGCTTTCTATAATGAACAGCCTAAGCAGCATAAAAGTAAGTCTTGAATGTGACTTTAAGCATCCTTTAGTGCATTTTTTCCTCGGCCGCATTGTTCTGTCCTGTCAGTAACCACGTTTCCCGCCCACGCGCGTCAATACTTTCAAATTCAATACCACTGAAGATACCTTTGCAGCAGGCAAAAAACACAGTGATATTAATCGCCTGATATTCGGCATGGGCACGGGCTAGCGCATCGACACCCATCAGATCGATGTATGGAAACGATGAACAGTCAACGATAATATGCGTTAGCTGGATCAGTTCTTCCGTCTCCTCTCTCTCCTCAACGGCTGGTTGAGTTGTATGGAGACAACGCTGGCGCATCGTTAATTCTGCAATGTAATACCGATAAAGCAGCCTTATGACGTAAATCCTCTCCCCTTTCCATTTGACTCATCCCTCTCAAAAATGCAATTAGATTCGAGTAATCCAGATGACTTTTATTACCAAACAAAAGATTTTTCCTTGTTAGCCGCGCAGTCCGTTTTGTGTTGCTCACCAACGGTTTGAGACAGAGACTGAAAATGCGAAGTGTACACGTTCAGGTACAATTATAATTTCAAATTTTCAAGCAAACTCACGAATTTCTTCATCTGGATTAAATGCTTTATTTTCCTTTTTCTTTCGATCGGCTGTTTCTTTTAGATGTGCAAGAATGACCAGTGGATCGAGACCCGTTGCACTAAAATTGTCGAAAAATCGAGTTCACTCTAGACTAAAATCACTGCCTCAACAAATTTTCAAAACTTTCTGTTTTCGCTCCTGCCAAAATTCGTGGCCAGATTTCATAATGAGTAGAAAACAGAAATTCGGTGAAATTCCATAATCCGCTTGTTAAATAGTTAAAAATAAAATTAGAAAATCAATGATAAGTACCGCCATAACTACCCGCACAGGTCTCCAGCCAACAGAATAACCGGTGCCTCCTTGGTATACGGGATCCATCTCATTCAAAACTCAGCAACAGTTTTTCTCACATTTGCAAGTGCTGTTGACTAGTACACGAATCTTTCTAAGGAGCCTCAACTGAACAGTTGTGTGGCGACCAGATGCTGCCAGTGTTGCTAGTTGCACTCCCAGTACACGTCAACCGCAGCTGTGCTTATTTATAAAATTTAACGATTAATAAATAGGGTGGATGATGTGATCATGCGTTTTGCACAGTACCGTTCAGCGGAAATTTGCTGTTAAGTATTCTCGCTGTTTTACATTTTGGTTTGTGAAAAAATAATCGATTAACATCTGGCTCCTAAACTGTGAAATTTTCACCAAAAATTTCGCATACTGATATGATTTTGAAACTACTGGGACAAATTGGATGGGAAATATCCTCCCAAATTTTCAACTGCCTAGTTTTCTGGCCTCCCAGTCAGTGACTTTCGCGCCAAAGTTTTGTGCAACTGTTCTAGCAAAAAACGTATAAAAAAATAATGAACCAGTGCATGCTGGTGAGGAAGAGTTCAGCGTTGGCAAAATAGAGCGGCGCATCAAATCGAAACACCTTAATGCCCGGAATTTCCATGGCTGTCCGATAATGGCCAATACCTTTAAAATCCGATGTTCCCGGTATTCGACCCATGCATGTACTTTCCGCCCTAAACGAACAAATTTTTTTGAGTTCAAGACCCCAAAACTGTTGCTTCTAAAATCTTGCAAAAATAGTGACCCGCTTCTGGAATTTTCCGAGATTGGTCATTTCAGTTCCAAACTGTTCCAAAAGCAGATTTTTCCACTGCAGAATTTTTCGAGCCACCTCGAAGACTTCCTGAATGTGTTTTTTCTTTTTTAGAATTTTTGAAAGTATCATCCCAGACTTTCCCAGAATGCTCTCCTCTCAAAGTTTTGCTGCTCGAAACAAATACCGCCGCTAATTTCCAACCCGGTCTTTTCCGAGTCGCCTCGCCAATAAGTCCGAGATGAATCGTGAGTTGTGCGCGTGCACACATGGGCATTTTAAAAT